CCAGGCCAGAGGTACTGGGAGGAGGGGCCGGATGGGAGCTGACCAGCATTGAGGCAAACAGTGGGGAGTCAGGGAGGCCAAGCAGAGGAGCAGGTGTGCACGCAGGAGCCCAGGACGGTTTTGGTGATTCACCTGCTATTTGATCGTCAGAGTTGAGTGAGTGAACATAACCTGTGGAAGTCAAGGGGAAGCTGCATACCTGTGTGGATGAGGCCTTTTGCCCCATACCTTGCAGCTAGCTGGAGCCTACCCAGCCATGGGCTGTGGATCTGGTTTGACTCATCATGGTGTCCTTCCAGCACAGATGTAGAAAATGACAGCTCCCGATGCCTTCAGTGGTTGGGCCCAAATGCATGAAAGCCAGGTGTTCCTTAGGGAGTGGTAGGGAGCAACGACAGCCAGGGCCCGGGTGCACACGGATGTGGGCCTCCCCCGGAGGTGGTGGGGCCAGCAAGGGATGGGTCCTGAGGACCTCACGCTAATCTGGGAGGGGAAAGGGCAGAGGCGGAGCTCTGGGTCCCCTTACAGTCGTGAGGAAAGCCCTTTGGTCTTCCCTTAGTACTCTTGGGAAGAGACTTGCAAGCAGTGATATGTTCAAATAGACACACTGCTGTCTGCTTGAGAGTATTTTGCCCCAAATGGACTCAATCTCCCAGGCCTGTTTTTGCAGGGGTATCAGTCTCATGATATCCAGGAAACTCCCAAGTGCGTGGTCCTTTACAAACAACACCCCAGACACACAACACACGCACACAGGGCCCAGAACAGCATGTGACAAGTCAGTCACAACTAGGAAAGAACCCAAATCTCTGTGTCAGTCACTTTCCCATTACTGTAGAACACACCTGCGGTAATCAGCTTATAAAAAGAAAGGATTTATTTTGGTTGCAGTATTAAAGGTCTCAGTCTATGATGGCTCCATTATTCTGGGCCTGGAGCACATGTACCTGGTAGAGCAAAATCACACATCTCATAACCAGGAAGAAAAAAGAGCCAGGATCTCTCTGACCCTTGGACAACACACCCTTAATTACTTAAAGACCTTTTCCTGGGCTCCACCTCCCTGAGTCTGCCCCCTCACAATAGAGCCAAGCCAGGGGCCCAGCCTTTCCCACGCTGTAGCAGCCCATTGTGGGAGGCCTTCTCCACTGTGTAGGGATCACCATGCTAACAGCCCAAGACTCCTGTCCCCTTACAACTGCCACAAAGTACAACAGAGCCCCACCGAGAAGTGCATAGATAACTTGCTCTACATTTTAAAAACTCTAATGAAATATTTTAAGCCTTTTTACATTTTAGGAAAAAGTCTTGTTTCCTTTCATGTTGGGTGTTGATACAGATTAGGATTAATAAAAAAAATCTACCTCAGGGGTTTCCTGAGATGCAGGGAGCTGATCACCACAGAGCTAGTACCGGATAGGTACATCCCAGGAAGGAAGACACAGTCTGACTCACAGACAAGGACTCTGCCTCCCTAGGTCTGCACACAGCTGTGCCTAGCAGATGTCTTCTGGGGGAACTAGGACCCCTCCAGAGGCAGCAGAAAGCCAGCTATCTGAGGGCAGGGCTGGCCCTCAACCTTATGTACAGGGAACATTTGACAAGAGTCTGTAGGATGAAAGAAAGTCCTCAGGGATTTCAACCCTCGGCAAAATCAACAGCAGACATGGAATCATTCCCAGAAGGACCAATGTAGGTTTTCAAGCCTCAGCACGGTGTTAAGAGTTCAAAAGCAATGAGTGATTGCCAAGTAATACAGGATAGTTAGAAATCTACCAGAATCCTACTATTTTAATTTATTTAATTCTTGGTCCAAAATATGTACCACTTCTTATCTGCAGTCACCAGACAATAACTTGTTATTGACCATAAAGAAAGCCCATAGGAGGAGAAGCGAGTGTGCTACATCTCCTTACCATGGTGGGTTAGGTTTATGCAGATCTGAATGGCTTTCAGTCATGCATCTAAGGACCATAGCTCACTTCGGGAATGTTGTCTGCCTCCCAAATACTGTCATTTCCCAGTGTCTGCCTCCAGGGCTTCCTCAGATACCAAAATCTGTGAATGCTCGAGTACTTCATGGAGTATCTGCGTAAAACCTACACACATTATTCCATATACTTCACATTATCTCTAGATTACATATAACACCTAATACAGTGCAAAAGCTAGCTATGTAAGCAGTTGTTATAGTGTTTTGTATGAGAAGAAAAATGCCTACACATGTTCAACACAGAAGCAATTTTTCCTAATATTTTTGAGCTACATTTGGCTGAATCTGTGGATACAGAACTGGCAGATACACAGGACTGACTGTATCTATCACACCAAACTGCTAAGTGGAAGAACACTGGCCATATAGACCCAAGTATATTAAGCAATGGCAACTGGTGCAGTTGGAGAATTGGCCTGGTTCACGGGTAGAGTAGCTGATGCCCTCCTCACAGCCTGCCATGAGGAACAGTGGTTGGTCAACATTAGTGACCAAACCATGATGAGTCATCAGAAATTTGGGGGGCACACATGCTCAGCAACTTCAATGGCATGGCAGAATGGGAGTACTGCAAAATGACCCAAGCTATGACCTAGACCCTGAAATGCTGAGCCCAATTCAAGAACACTAAAACCTTCCTACTTGTTTTTTTTTTTTTTTTTTTTTTTTTGTATTAGTTCATGTTTGCAGTACACAATGATTTGACTCATTGTGGGGAGTTGGTACACGTACATAACACATCTTCATTCTTCCCTTTCTGCCCTCCTCCCTCCCCCCTCTCCATCTTTTGGTTCCCTTCCTATTTGCAGAAGATTTATCTTGCACATCAAGATTAGTTTAAATTCCTCCATTCTCAGGAAGCTGTGGGTCTGCCTGCTGTTCTCCTAGTCTTGGGCTGCCTAGAGAGGAAAGGCGAAGCTGAGACACCCCAGCCACCCACGGAGAGGCTCAGTATAGAATGAACCTCCTACACTTTGCCTCGCCCCAACATGGCAGGTAAACCAAATGTCTGAGTGAGGCCCAGCCTATGGGTGAGCCACAAGCAAGCTGGCCTATTGGAATGTCCTTCCCCAGACACCTGGGGACAGCTCCGTTGCTCTTACTCCTGCAGAGGCCTCCGGGTGGCTCCTGTCCTACTTCTCTGTGCAGAGATGTAGTTGTTGGGTTGTTTTCTGAAAGGACTTACCTGGTGTCAACAAGGTACAGTCTGATAATGGACCTTGGGAACTTCTTCCACAGTCCACTTTCCCCCAACAGAACAAAGGGGGGAAAGTCCCATTCCAGGCTGAGAAAGGGAAAGGGAGATCTCACCTCTTGAGTTAATTTAAATGTACTTTCTTTCTTCAGAACATGCCACATGAGTCATGGAATGCTAGATGCCTTGGCTCTAATGGGAAATTAAGGGGGGCACGAGGGTTGCCCAAAGGATATTTGTGGGTTTGGGGTTGTATAACTTTTAAAGAACACAAGGCTATTGGAAAGTCTGTTGCTACTTTGGTAAGTGTTTTAATGGCCTAGGCTTCATTATGGAGACTATTTGCACTAGTTGTAAATACAGTTCCCAAGATTTGCCCAAAAATATTCTGGGCTTTATCCTTTCATTTTTTTAAGCATTTTATTAAAGGACATTTTGCCCCTGAATCTCTTGTTAACATTCCTGCTCAACTATCTTTGCAAATTTTTCCCATAGATAAACTTTCTCTATTTTTTTTGATGCTGTGACATTTAAAATGATTATTCCAGTAGGTTTTTTCCCTACTGGAAATACTGAGAAAGATGAGCCAGGAAAGTGTTGGCAACACCTACTTGTCTTGAATGGAGAGTAGGATCCAAAAGATTGCATAGTCTACCATTTAATTTCAGCTGAAAGATCTGAGGGCAGAAAAAAATAAGAGAAGCAGGCAGATCACTCTGGTAACAAGGATTTGGAACTTGCCCAAGGTCTGTGCCAGAGTGAAGGAGTTAGAGATAGTGTCCTTCTGGAATGACCTTGGCTGTGGGTGCTACCAATCAAGCTTGAGTGGAAAGGAAGAGAGGCCAAAGGGCCCTGTTTCCATCTCTAGAAAAAAATGCCATATGCATTAGTCCCAATTTCCCACAATGAATGATTTATCATGGATTGCAAACATATACTAAGAAAAAAGAGGAAGAGAAAAAAATACTAATAACCTCCCTCATAAAGTTGCAATAAAAAGTATAAGAAACAAACATAAACCAAAAGGGGTGGATGTTGCATGTCACACACAAAAGAAAAGGAAAAAGTCAGATGTCACAGCAGTAGATACCATGAGGGTACAGATAGACAGTAGCTGTAGAAATAATAAACAATATACCAATAATAAAAATGATAATAAAGTAAATACACATCAATTTCAGTGTGTTCAGTGTTATTTTCAGTGGTGTAAATCTATTAACATGGAGCCAGGAAGGTCTGCTTCCTGCAAATGAGGAAGGTAAGCCACAGAGAGCTTTAAGTAATTTGCTCAAGGTCACACAGCAGGATTCAACCCGGTTTAGCAGTACAGTCTGTGCTGACAGAGAAGGTGAGTTCCAGAACGTCAGACTGGTAGATCAACTTCTGTGTCCTGGACATGGTGGTTCTGCAATTCTCTGCATTTCTTTCCTTCTTCAGGTCATTTCACTCTGAGTCTCTATCAGCTGAATTAATCTGAATGCCTTTAATGCCACTCATAAGGGTGCAACTGAAACTGAGACTTTAAATGGGATAATAAGGGGGAAAGCATCTCACCTCTGGAAGAAATGGAAGAGACAAAGTGAAGTGTTTTCATTCTAAAACTGGCCAAAATTTCTTATGATCTGGTGATCAAGTCAGAGTTTGTCTCCAAATCATGGTTTTTTGAGACACTACTTTTGATCACCTCTAGTTTTTTTAAAATTTATTTTAAAAATAAAAGAAGGAAAACATATTAACAAACAGACATCCATTTACAAAATAGCATAAGAACAATACAAGCAATACAGAGTTACAAAGTGGTAGGAAATTAACAATGTTTGTTGTACTACATATTGATAGCTCTGGTTTGTCCTGGTGGTATATTTTGCAGTACACTTTGGGAATTCAGAATGCATTAGGGTGCAACATGTAATTATTATTGCACCTTAATTAGATAAAATTATATTTTAAAAAGCAAAATTACCTCACAAACAGCATTTACTGAAGACTCTTCCTAAGCTCCGACAAGTGCCTTCTACTCACCCACTGGGCCACCTCTCCCGCCTGTCTCATCTGCAAATGCCAGGTCTGGTTCATCCTGCATTGTCATCTGGATCTCTCTCCCAACCACAGCCAGAATTTGCAGCCACATCTCATCAGCTCTGAGCCAGCCCAGAGAACAGGGCTGGTAGAGGAGAGGCTGGGCCTCAGGGGATCCTGAGAGCCTGGTGGTGCCCACAACTTCTTATGCTGTGAGGTCCAGGACCAGCTGCCTCCAGCGCTGTGCCTTACCCCTCATCTATCCAGGGGAGTCCACGGGTCCACCTGATGGACATGCACTGAAGACACTGGGCATTGGCTCCAGGGCTGTGGAAAGGTCAGGATTTCTGATCAGGGTCCCCATCACCAGTGCCACCATTAGCGATCATCTGGGTGGATTCAGTGTATTAGGAGCCCAGGCACCTTGAACAGAAATGGAGGCAATAAGAAAACAGGTCCTTCAGGAAAAGACCAGGAACAGTGTTGTTATAGTTTGCATCTGGATGTCCCCCCCAAAACCTCATGCAGTCCTGGGGCGGGCTTCTGGAGTTTACGATTGATCCAAGATCCAATGCTGGGACTATGGGTGTGAGTGCTACACTGGCCCTGGGGTGGGTAATTTGCATACAGTATAAGGAAGGGAAAGAAGTTTGCTCTCCCTGCTGCTGCTCCTTCATTTTTGCTCTTGCTGCTTTTGCCGTTTTCTGCTGCCATGAACTGTTGCCGCTGTCACATGCAACTCTGTCTTGGAGCCAGGCAAGAATGGATTGAAACCTCCACAAACCGTGAGCTAAATAAACTTTTCCTTCCTTAATTCTGGGTATCAGGTAGTTTGTCTCAGCAACAAGCAAAAAGTAACCAAGACAAATGTTTACAGACATAGTCCCCATGGGTCTTTCATCCTCCAACCCAGCAGAAGAGGCTGGACTTGGACACAAGTGGCTGTCATGAGACAGTCCCAGAGCAAAGCACCAGGAAAAGTATGCAACAGTCAAGGTGTGTGACTATCACTTACCACTAATCAGAGGCCTGTGACTACCGGGTGTTCTCCCCATTTGATTGATGGTAGAATTAAATTTCAGGAAGTGAGCAGCTTGTTCAGGGCACAGCTGACCCTAGAAACTAACACTAGAGGGATATGTGTGTCAAACAGCTCTGCATTGCATCTTCTTCCTGACACAGGGTGCTTGGGAAGAAAAGAGTTGATACAACTCAGTTTTGCAGGTTCCCAGTCCAGGATCAGAGGCCCCCATTGGTTTGGCCTCTGGAAAGAATGGCAAATGGTGCCACATCATAGCAGAAGAGACAGACAGAGATAGACAAACAGACAGACAGGCAGATGGGGAAAGGAGACTAAGATCCATAAACCTCTTTAAGAGCACACCCCCAGTGATCTAAACACCTCCCACTAGGCTCCATCTTTTAAAGGTCCACAGCACCTCTCAACAGAGCCAGCCAGAGGACTAACCTCTGGGGAATTTTGACATCCACACTACAGTATGTGGCTCCCAAAGTCCCACTCTTTCCATGGTGACAGGTTGTTTCTTCATACCCACACCTTGCTACTCTAAGTTTATAGTCTGGAAGCCTAGAGACATGGGCCAAAAGGCCAGCAGACATTAGCATGCACCCTTGGGTTCCATATCTGCTGCCTCTCCTGCCTGCATAATCCTGGGCAGTAAGTTCCATGGACTTGTGGCTGAGATGCCTCCAAACTCTGCTTCCTCTTTTGGAAGGTGAGGACAGTGACTTGCCTGGCCAGGTCACCATGAGGATCAACTTAGTGACATATGTGACCATGCCACGTGGAGCAGAGACACCCAGTAGCTTGTTTACCTTCATCCAGAGACTTGATGAGCTCAGGAAGAGAAGGGTTGATAAAGTGGACATGACAATGGGACAAACCATGGCCCAGGGGGCACAAGGACATGTCACATCACAGGCTGCAGTTTTCTAGGACTGATGTAGCAAATTTCCATCCCTGACCAGCTAAAACCTCAGAATGGACTGTCTCAAAGTATGGAGGCCTAAGATCAGGAAACAAGGTGTCAGCAGGGCCACCTTCCATCTGGAACACTCAAGAACTCACCCTGCCTCTTCATAGCCTCTGATGGCAGCCTTGATCCTCAGCCTTCTCTGGCTTATAGGGAGATACAGCCTTCCAGTCTCTACATCTGCCTTCATAGTCATTTCCCCTGAGTGTTTTTTTTTTTCATCTAAGGATAACAGTCATGGAATCAGGGCCCACCCTAGTGGTCTCACTGTGACTTGATTACCCCTGCCAAGCCCCTATTTGCAAATAAGGTCACAGCCACAGGACTGAAGGCCAAAACATCAACAAATCCTCCGAGGAAGGAACAATTCCTTGAGAGAAGAGGCATGCTGGTAAAGAATAAGAGGAGAGGCATGCTAGTGCTGACTGGCCAAGGACCTGCTTGGTTTCCAAGACCCCCAGTGGACATGCAGTCCACACAAGTCCCTAAAACAAAGCCTGCTTAAGGATATGACAAAGCAGGCATGACAGTGTCACATCAAAGGGCCTCCCAGACCTGTCCTTCAGATGCAGCTCCTTCCAAAGCATCCTCACCCACTACCAGGCCTTCCCTAAGGCCTCTCAGGGAGTCAGGTGGACCTGAGCTCCCAACACATGGCCATCGCTGGCTCCTCAGCTCACACTCAATGCAATCTCTGAGTTTATTCTTCAGTGGGCCAAGGAGACAAGGTCATGGCCAAAGCTGCCTTCCTGAGGCGGTTAGACAGGAAGGCTAGGCAGGCCTGAGGCCTCCACTGTGGCACTTACGCTTGGAGGGCTTCCTTTAAGAGCAGTCTGCAGGGTCCTGCTTCATCAGACCTGGACTCTCTTCATTTGAGGTTCCCAAATGCCCTGCAGCCTGGGCTCCTGGGCCATCGTGCACCCAAATCCACTGTATCCCAGTATCTATCCCCACTTCCCATATTAGAGATCAAACCCAGGGCTTTTGCACTGAGCTGCATTCCCAGGCCTTTGTTTATTTTGAAAAAGGCTCTCACTAAGTCATCCAGGTTGGACTAAACTTTTGATCCTTTTGCCTCAGCCTCCCAGAGCAGGCTGCTATGCACCACCATGCTTGGTTAACCTGGTGTTCTTCCACAGAGTGACAGGCTTAGCCATGCACCTTGCAAAACCTGTTATGAAACACTAGCTGGAGGCCCTGCTGCCAGGACCCCTCGCTGAAGTGTGCTGGCCTGAGCTTTCCCAGGGACCTGCAGCCACAGAGGTGGGCCACTGCAGTGTCATGGTGATGCCACTGTGTGGTAGGCTGAGGCTCTGTCTTTGCTGAGCCCCTGCTCCCTGGGCCTCTTCTCTAGGTGTCCATCCAGAGAGCATCCAGGAGTTTCTTCCTTGGGTAGGTTTCCCTGGAAACATCCACCCCACCCATCCAAAAGATAACTGCTGCCCTTTGTTCCCAGGCTAAAATGCTTTCCAAGCCTCTTACCACTCAGTTTCCCATAGGAGCAGGGCTGGAGGGCACCTGCATCCTCCCACCCTTTCCGAGATGGACGTTTCTGGAAATCCTTGCACGTAGTACATGGGAGCCACACAGGCTGTGGATACCAACACCCACAGCATCCTTCTGCCTCCCACAGATGACATCCCACTTCTTTGTAAAAGAGGAAGCTCTCTCTCCCCAGTGACTAAGAAGCTCACACAGCCCTGCTGCCAGTCATGAAGCTCAGCTGGGCGATGACTGTGTCCCGATGCCCCTGGGACACCTTGGACACCTGTCCGAGCTTCTGTATGGCTTCCAAGCTTGCACTTGCAGACACTCTAGAAGCAATCACCAGCTCTTATCAACAGTGGCCACAGCCAGGACAAAGGAGGAGTCCGGAGTGTGTAGGCACTATGTACCTGGTTGGGCTCTACACCAGGTGCACTGGGCAGTACATCTGTGAGTGATGACCTTCTTGGTCTTCTCCAAGTCCTCCTGTCAACCTTGGGAGACATCCTCACACGCTCAAGAGGCCCCCAGATAGGCTACCCAGCCAGCAGCCTCTCCTATGCCTGGGGAGATCCTGGCATAGGGACTGGACACAAGCCCTTGAGGAAGACAGAGACCGGGGGCCCCAAGGCCATCACTGTACCTACTAAAGTGGTCAGTGTCAGAGTGCAGCCTATACCTGAGCATGCGCTCCACATTCCCTTAACACAAGCACCTATCTTGGATCCCTGAGCACTACTGTGACTTTCCAGATCTGATGCCACTCTTATTTTTAAAGGGAAAAAGAAGGATCTGGCAAAAGCAGCTCAGTGCTGCCAGGAAAAGCCACCCTCCCCCCTCCACACACACAAAGCATTGCAATTATGCAATTCTTATTCCTGTAGGTTGAGGCAAGTGTTCCCCAAATTTGTAATAATGTTAAAAGTTACAGAGATCAAGGGAGAGAGGCACCTCTAGGGCACCATTCTCATGGCCCATGGTGCGCTGAGAGGGCACCCATAATCCCCACGTCTCTCTTGGCATCACCCTGACACAGCCCAGCAGCCTCGACAAAGCCCTACGACATCACAGAAGGTGGCCCCTCCTCCCTGTGGCCTATTTCCCAGAACCAGCAAACGTGGGCACTGTGGAGAGTGATCCTTACCCAAAGGCCTCAGAACACAGGAGTGTGTAGGCCCCTGGCCAGGCTGCTCCTTCTCAGCCTGCAGCTGGCTACACAGGTGGCCCCTTAGTTGGCTGTGGAAGGCAGCAGGTTTTGAACAGACCGGAGTAGTGCTGTCTCTGCGGTCTGGTGCACTGGGCACGAACCCTCCACAGGACATTCTCAGGAGCGTGCTTTCCACACAGTTCTGCACTTGGAGTGCACCAGGACAGCACTTCAGAGACTGCCTGGAACTTGGGGCACCAAGTGTATGTCCGTTTCTGCAGATGGGGCTCAGGAACCAGCTTGCTAGAACTTCGAGGGTCACACACTACCCTGTCACTCAGTGGTGCTCTGACCAAAGCAGGCAATGAGCAAGCAGAACAGTGAAATTGGGAAGGTGGCTCAGTGCCTTATGGCAACAAGGTCCTTGGGCATCTTCGTGGTAACCAAATCCAGGTACACACTTCCTAAGACCCTCCAAGGCTTAGACCTCCACCCGTGAGACCTGGAGGGCTGAGGCTGTGTGCAGAAGGTGAGTGTTGCCAGCCCTCCCCAAGACCTGCCCACCCTCCACCCCAAGGGGAAGATGCTGGTCCTCCCTGGATCCTAGCAAGAGGATAAAGAACTAGCACCTACAGCTACAACTCTCAGCATCTCTGGGCTCCAAGCCAGAGGGCTCAGGGTAGGAACAAGTGAGGATCTTCCCAGGAAGCAGATGGAGGCCAGGTGACTGTAAGAGGGCAGGGGTGAGTGGCAGGGAGCCAGCAGGCTCAGCACGCCAGGGATTCAGGTCAGTGGGGTGTGAGGGCCAATGCCCAGCTGTGCAGCTGTTCAAAGATGAGGTGACCGGGTGACTCAAGGGCATGGTGCCTGATGCTCACAGTGCTTATTCAATTTCATCTACTTCCCTGTTCAGAATGAAAGGACCATGAGGATCCTGACCCACTTTCTCTCTGATCACAGAACCCCCCACCAGTATTAGCCCATCTTTGGGAATGTGAAGGAACAAGTCCTCTCCTTGCAGGGAAGAAGCCTCTATCCACCTCTCTCCAGGTTCCATGCAGATAGCTTCCTGATGGCTGGAGCCCCTGTGACTGTACCCTGAAGCATTCACCAGTGGGACCATCTATGTATGTTGTAAGCAGTCTCTCTGAGGCTTCAACAGGCTGGGCCCACTGCCCACATGCATAACTTGTGCATGGGCATGCCCTTCCCACAGCTACCATCCTCCGTGTTTTCTCATGTTGCCTCCCAAACAAACCCTGGGGACCCAAAGCCCACACGCACACACGTTATCAGACACCCTTGGATGCTAGAGGCTTACACAGGGCAGCCAGCAGTCCCACACTGTCCTCTGGGATGCCCAGAGGAGCCAGCCTTGGGACACTCCCATACACAGGGCTTGGCTTATCATGAGCTGTGTGACGTCAGGGTATGTCATCATGCAGAAGCTCATGCATGGCTTTAGATAGCCAACAGCCATTCCTGAACCCAAGGGACACAGCAGCTACTTCCCGGGCTGTTTGTTCCCTGTGACCTGGCCTCAGGTGTGCGGTCTGAGCAGCCTGCAATTCCCCAGACCCCAGGAGGACTCCCGCTAACCAGGACAGGGGTTCTCCTTTGATGCAAAATATCACTTTTTCTGCTGCCACAGAGAGCACTAACACCTCTAACGGGACATGGAGACATAATCACAGAGGAAGAGACCAACAGTAGTACCAGTGTCTCCCTGCGGGACCGCTCCGGGCAGTTCTTGCGTGACTGCACCGAGCAAGGAGCCACAGGTCCCAGTGGGACTGCAGGGTCCCGGCGTGGAGTATTGCGTCTGCTGGGGCACAGAAAGGCCTGAGAGCTGTTCTCTGAGCATGGAAGTCCTTGGACCTGGAGGCACAGACACCAGCCAACCACTCCTCTGCTCACACAGACGCACCAACCTGTGCAGAGGAGAGTGGCAAGGGGAGCACGCACTCATGCTCGGGTTCTGAGCTGCTGCTTAGCCAGGCCTAGGGATCGTTGGGCTCAGCAGGCCCTGCCACTGCCTCCTCCTGACCATCCACACATCCATGTGGCAGGCCTTCCACACATCCCAGCCTAGGAACAGCACACTGCAGCACGGCTAGCCTGGGGCCCAGCTGTGCCTGGTAGGGTTTCCACCCTTTCCTGCCTCTCTGACAGCCCAGGGTGGCATATTCCAGACTTGCTGGTGGACACTAACTCCTGATGGGTTCTTATGGAAAAGTCAGGGAGACCTGAGCTTCACTTTTCTGCTCCTCAGTGGGGTCCCTAAGCTCTCCATATCTTTCTCCCCCTACAGCTTCTTGTTTCTACCACCCACAGAGAGAAGGTAAGTCACTCAACAAACCCTTTCTTTAAATTCCTTGTGATGATACTATGGCAACACCATCTGCTCTGGCCTTCAGTCCCTTGAATACCCTGGGATCCACCTTCCACAGGCCTTTGCGCATCTCGTTTTTCTATGCAAAACAACTCTACACACCCAGCACTACCTAGATCCTTCCTACTAGCCCTCACACTCTCAGCTCAATGTCCTCTTCTTAGGGAAGTTTCTCTGGGCCCCAGGATGTGTTCCCTTATGAACTGGGAGCCTTTCTTTCCCAGCCACATTGCACTTCTTGATTATGCACTTACCTCTGTGAACACCTGGCTACGGTGCCTTCTCCATACACAGGTGTGTCTGCCTGGGGACAGGCTCTGCTCCCTGGAGCATCTGGTACATGCAGTACACACCTGGCCTGCAGTAGGCACTCTGAGCGTGTTGGGTGGAGAGCCCAGTGCCAGAGACCCCTTAGCTGATGCCACCCTGCTCTGACCCAGGTCTTCATACCCACCTGAAAAAGTGCCCTTTGATTTCCACAAGAGATGCAAACAAGCTGACAAGCCAACCTGGCACGCTGAATTCTGTCACCAGTGCAATTGCCCAGTCTGATCAGTCAGGCTGACAGAGTCACCTATGCCACCAGGCACTGCTGATGAGAGGCCAGAGTGGACCAACCAAATGTGTCCTCATGGGAAGGTGTGGCCGAGCCTGCCTCCCTCCCAACTCAGCAAGGTACAGGCTCTCAGGGTCCCATGGAGCCATGGAACTTGCTGACCCAGATCTGCACTGAGAACCACGTGAGCCCCTTCCTCTGAGGCCAGTGAGCAGCAGGATGTTCAGCTACTGTTTTCTGGACACCAACTGTGGCAAAGGGCACCAAGCCAGGTACAGCAGGGAACTGAGTTCAGTCCTGGGCTGGGAGCAGCCACAGGGCAGGGCCACCCACAGGCGGCCAGAGAACAGGGCCTTCCAAACCAAGACCAGGGTCAGATCAGAGCCAGAGAGCTCTGCGGGAGGCCTAGATATGACCGAAAGACAGCCCAGGAGCTGCCCCAGCAAGAGAAGTTTGCACAGACCCTGGCAGGAAAAAGCTGCCATGTGCGGCAGCCCCCACAGTGCCAGTGCAGAGGAGCACGTGGGGTTCTGTCCAGAGACGCTCTGAGCTGTAAGGTGATGACAGCTCAGCATCAAGCCAAGCACAAGCCTAAGTGACTGCCAGCTGCCCAAAGGAAGCTACCCAGGTTACAGGTGATGCCATCGCTCTATAAGAAAACTGTCTGGGGTACCTGAGGCTCTGCACATCATGGTGGCACACTGAGGTGCCTGGGCCTCTTTTCAAGGACACCAGCAGCAACCTACTTGGCCTGAGCATCCCCACGGCTCATGTGGGTTCCACCTCCCTGAGTCTTCCACGGATGAGGAAAGGCCCAAGTATGCATGGGGCGCACACTGTGCGGGTAGGCTGTTCCCCTCAGGGCCATCCCACTCTTTACTTCTCCCCAGCACCGCCAGCATCTGCTCCAGTCTCAGACCTCAGTCTCCCCACTTCTCTCCACTTTGGGTTCCTCACACTTAATCTGACACCTTCAGAAAAGGAGAAAGCTGTCCTCATAATTAGCCTTGTCGGGTGGCTGAACAGTGACCCTGAGTGAACAGGGCTGTCAGCAGGCCTGTGTCCCTGTCTCAAAGGTGCTGGGCGGTTCCCAGTGTGATGCCGGTCAGGCTGCATGTCCACCAGATCACTTAGGGCTTTGCTCACAGCTGGCAAGGGCTGCAGTCGGCTCCATAAGATCATATGCTGGCTGAAAAGCTTGGTCTGTGACCCAGGGGAAGGATTAGACAGAAAAACTAACATTTTGCTTTAAACTAAAGCAATGCCTATTAGTGATAATTCAGTAAAAGGTCAACTTCTTATCTTGTTGCTCTGTGCTCCAGTTTCAACAATGGTAGAAAATGCCCAAAGAAGAGGGGAATCTCTGTCACTTGGGGCACCATGCACCATTTGGGGTGGTGGTGACATCCCAGGAGTCACCAAGTTCATGGGGCACTGAGGATAGTGGTCTCCATCTTCCTTCATTAGGGGGACCCACAGTGACCCACACTATTACCCATGGGTTAGGGAACCACTGGGGCTCCCAGCTGAAGTGACCATGGAGCAAGCACAGTGCTGTCCACTTCAAGTTCCCTACACCCAGGCCTAGAATATGTCCCACTGGAGCAGCGACACTGCTGCTTCTCCCCAGCAACATCTGCGCCCTACTTTTGGAGACACCCCAGCATCTCAGGGCATTTCTGTTGCCTCCTGGCCACCCCGGGGCAACCCCATGGGCTGTCAGCAATCTAAGGGCAGAAACCATCTGACATATCTTGGCTCCCTGCTACCCAGCCCACTCACTCACCTGGCTATAAGAGCTCCCATGCAAATGTAGGGTGAGGGCTTTCATCTCCAGCAGCCATCAGGGAGGTCCCCAGCAAACAAATCTAAGCCTTTTGAGAGTAAACGAAAGCTAAGAATGAACCAGGAGATCCTCTTCCATCTGTCCCTCCAGAATGTTCCAGGGAAGCCCCCATGCTTTCAGGCACTACAGAGGAAGACCACGAAGGAACACAGCCTGCAGAACCCACTGGACACAGGCCTGCTGCCCCTAGCTGCTGTCCTCCAGCCAGGCCAAGTGCCCGATGTGTCACCTGTCTCCGCCTTTTTTTTCCCTCTGCCCTCCTTGGGCACCAAGTCCTCCAACAGATGCTCTGGGGAGGCAGCACTCAAATTCATCCCTTTTCAGCCTGGAAACTTTCCCCAATATCTGGGGGGAAAAATAAGATTTCTGCACTGCTCTTTTGGGAATTTTCATTTGTCTTCATAAATGTTGGGGGAACATCTACTTTCTGTGGGTTCCAGACTCACCTCTGAATAGTGTGAATGGAGCACAGCCCCTGCCGTGGGGTCTCACAGTCCTGGATGAAGAAATGCCAGTGGGCCATTGAGAGCCAGGTTCCCAAACATGCCAGGGGCACCAAGCTCACTCCGTGTGTCCATCTGAGAGTTCCCAGAAGGTGAGCCACTGAAGAGCTTGAAGCAGGGGTCATTGCTTGAGGAGACCGGCACCAGGTGATCTCTGAGGTCCCGTCTGAACCCCAAGCACGTGGTGCTCAGAAGCCGTGCATCGTGCCTGCTTAGTTAGTGCCTTGAGCAGAGCTAGGTCGCCTTGCACTCTCAGTGCCTCTCGTTGAACTGCTGAACTTCAGCCCTCTAGGCAGGTCCAAGCCACGGCTTCCAGAACATTCCCGCCCAGCACAGCGCTCTCGAATAAGTCAAACACAAGGCTACAGCTTCCAGAAGGCAGCAGCTGGGCAGCAGGCTAACTGCCACCTTGCCAGGAGGTACCTCTTGCTTTACTTTTCAGAAGGTGGGCAGGGCACTTGGACAGGGTAAACTGGTAGGCAGAGCCACCCTTGGAACTGTCACAGGCTGCCACGGCACACTTCCTCCAGGAGTAATAACAGCTATTCAGCTGCATAATTGACCCAAGAAGGGAAGTCATCACCTCCAAGGAACAAAGGGCACTCGGTGTCCTGGCCAGCAGCCAGCTGTTGGCAAGCGCTGCAGGCCTCCTCACACACATGTGGGCTGAAGCCCTCCTGGTCTGCCGCGGTAAGGGGTCTGGTTTGCCCTGTTTCCCGGGGTCTTGTGCATAGAATCCATGCATGCAGTTGGGCCAGGACAGCCCACACTGTGGACACAGGCTGCAGGGCTCAGAGCCACTCTTGGTTTTCCTGGACTTTCTCAACCTGGCCCACAGCTGGAAAGAACTTCCCTACATCTCCCAGCCAGCCAGAGACTCGAAACACAGGCAGGTATATGTCTGACATGCCAAGGAAGAAAGCAGCGAAAAAAGGCCACAAGCTGTGTTGACGGGGAACCAGAAGAATAAAGGTAAAGTCCAGCCAGGCCCAGAGATAAAAATAACAGTGGTACAGGAGGTCCTGCCAAAGAAGGCTGTGCTCACAGCGCCTAATCACCACCAAGCACTGGGGCCCGAACCTGAGCTGCCAGGACACAGCCGTTCACCCTGTAGTGCCGGGAGCTGCCTCCCTTCTTCTAGCTCTGAGGATTATTTCTCTCCTTGTTTGCCTCCTTGGCTCCCACAGACATATGAGGAGCGCGCTTGGGATACCAGACTCCTGGCAAAGTGTGCAGCCAGCCATGTAAACAGGTTCTGGACAAGCTCTGGAATGACCACAGAGCAGGGCCCTGGGGAGTTTCCCAAGGCTGGAGCCATCCGCCAGCTTCACGACCTTGAGCCAGTCACCTTGCCCTGGGAGCCTCTGTGGTCTCCTCTTCCCAGGATAGGGTCATGGTGTGGAGCAGGGTCAAGGCATTAAGTACTTAGCTCTGCTTGGGAGAGCAGAACTTTGTTTACAGAGGGGCTTGGGCACTGGGCTCCTGCTAATCCCCATCTGCACTGTTAAGAACATCTCCACCAAGCCAGACCATGAACATGCCCAGCCCGGGAGTGTGTCTTGGTGGGGTGATGACCATGCCGGGACTGCTGCAGGGCCTGAGTCAGCGGCCACGAGGGGCTGCTGAGTCTAGGTTTCTGGCTTCTTGTCCCAGTTGTCAGCATTCATCTGATGAGAGAACTTAGCAGAAGGATGGCTCATGTTTCAATGACAACAAATATGTGTATTTTTAGTTGCTTAGTGGGTTTCGGACCCACAGGCTTTGGAAGCCTGATTGTAACTCACTAAGGAACAATTTCATCTATGTGTCTATGTGTCTGTGTGATGCTCACTTTTAACCAGAAGGGTGATGTGGAGGCCCTACAGCTACCTGAGGACTCACTCTCCTTTTGTTTTTTAATTTAAAAACACGATAATTTAACACATACTTAAGAAAAATTAATCTCACAAAAAGTGTAGCTTTCCTTCCCTCTCCCATCCCTCCCTTTCTCCACCCTTCTCTCCCCCCTCCCTCCTCTCTCCTGTTCTTCCTTCATTTCTTTTCATGTGCTGGGGATGGGACCCAGGGTCTTGCACAGGCTAGGCAAGCACTCTGCCACCAAAGCTGAAGCTGGCCACGGCTCTGCTCCCATGCCCACTGGACCAGGCTTCTCCTGTGGTTGTTTTGCAGATTTCTAGGCTCCCTCACTAGGGCTCCCAGTAACCCCATCTGACCTCCCCAGGAAGCCTTTTGAGGAGACTGCATTCAAGAACACATGTCTGCAAGTGACAAGATGCAGACTCCAAAGTAGCTCCCCAGACCCATGCGTCTACACACTGGGGGCCCTGGTGTGGTCAAATGGGCAAGATCACCCAGACTAGGCTGCCTCCAGGAATCATAGGAGATGCAGATGGGAGTCCCACACAGGCTGCGGCAGAGGCAGCTTTGGAGGAAGCCATAGCTGTACGTTCAACTACACGCCAGCATAATGAATGTCATTCACATTTCAAGTGGGGAAATGGAGAAGTCTGTTGCTAGTAACTATAGCAAATTAGGTAACTTATAAAGAAAAGAGATTTATTTGGGCTCACAGTTCTGGTGGTGCAGGGAGTCGGGGCCTCACCTGGTGGTGGCCTTCTTGCCAGCAGAGTCCTGGGGTGGCACAGGGCGTCACTTAACACGCACAGCGGGCCTGTGAGTCTGTATGGTCTCTTCTGGTCTCTCCCCCTTCTTCTAAAGCTACCAGTATTCAAGCATGTGTGCTCCATCACCTCCCCACACCCTGCCTCTAAGCACCACAGCAAGATGAAGTTTCCATCCTCTCAGTGGAGATTCGACTCCAACATGAGCTTCAGGGAGACAAACTGCATTTAAACCACAGCAGAGGGAAAAATACTAGGTGTTCACTCTTCAGGGGCGCTCACCTTTGACACCTCCATTCTCAGTAGGTCTTGGCAGGCATCATAAGAGAGCTGTCTGCATGGGCTCCTTGGACACAGATGGGGGAAACCAAATCCACAGTGGGCAGCATGGGAAATGGAGGTGCTGGGGTTGTGGCTTCCAGCAAGCATGGCCTTCAGGGCAATTCCTATGTAGAGAGTTAGATCTCTTTGTACCAGCCCCTGGCAAACACGCAAGTGGCAGAATTCTTGCTCAGGCCCACGTTTGTGTTTGTTCACTCCAGCCACATCCCAGCCCCAGGCCAAAGAAGACAGGCTCCAAGAGCACCCCAGAGCTGAAATTTGTGTTCATTAATTGCTAACAAGGGCAAGACCAAGTAAAGAATGAAACCACCAACTTCCGGCTCAGAACAGAACATCCTGTGCACTGTTGCACATCCATCACCTTATCAAAGGATTCCACAAGGTGCAATGTTCCCAAAGTATAATCCGTTAACAGAAACCAAGTATTCTGGCCATTCTTTCTGCAATACCTTGTTTATTTGAGGTAATTTGTAGCTCTGAAAAAAAAATGAAAAAAAAGAAGGCAAGTGTTAGAGGCAGAAAATACTTGTAAGATTGATGGTTCTGCTTCTATAGAGAGCAACCATGATTGGTGATTGCCTTTCTGTAGAGAAAGGCAAAAGCATTTTGGGTCCTTCCACTTGGAAAGCGGCCCCTCCTTGAATTTTTGTGTGACACACATCAGCCTCCATAGGAAGCAACAGAAGCAAGTCTGAAAACCTGGGACCACCTTTGATTTTGTCCAGCACATGACAGTGTCGGAAAATGAGGTAGTCATGCCAGCCAGTGATAAGCAATGGTTCATACTGAGACAAGTTCACAGACCACCGGCCCAGGGGACCTCAAAAGGACAGCCGAGGGAATGGAATAAATTGTAGCAAACCACCATCAAACAAGCTGCGGGCATGTCAGGAAGGTTCAAGCAGCTTGCAGCCACACCATCGAGCTGGCTGCTTTTTTGTGAGCACCTTTGCCACTCAGAAAGTGAAATTCCGGTAGTTTCTTTCTGTTCTCTCCTCACCGACCTGCGAGATGTGTAAAGCCAGCCCTCTTGACCTAATCCATTTTTGTTTTTCCTTTATTTCATTTTTTTCTTTATTTTTTCTACTGGATTAACTCAATATTTGTACCCTGATTAGAGTGAACATCTTCTAAACATTTATCATTCTTTCATGTTTGGAGCCTTCCAACTCCAGTTCTTCATGAAATGCATGAGAGCTGTTGTAAAACATTGCCCACCCACTGAGCCTAAAGCACTAGAACTTATTCCCTCATCTAACTGTATGTTAGTACTTGTTGTCCAGTTTCCTTTTACCTACCAACTCTTCTTCCACATCCTCTAGTAACCACCACTCACTTCTTTGAAATCAGTGTTTGCAGCTTCCAAGCACATAAGAGCATTCAGTATTTGTCCTTTTGTGCCTGTCTTATGTTACATAACATAGTGACCTCCAGTTCCTTCCATGCTTCTGCAAATGACAGGATGATATTCTTCTTGTGATGAATAATATTGCATTTTGCATATGATACCACATTTTCTTTATCCATTTATCCAGCAGTGGATACCTTGGTACAATCCACATATTGACTATACGACTAGTGCTACAATAAAAAGGAGCATACAGTTATCTCTTTGATAAGCTGATTTCATTTTCATTGGATATATCTGCAGAAATGAGATTACTGGATGATAAAGTACTGCTATTTTTACTTTTTTGAGGACCCTTCATACTGGTTTCCATAATGCCTCTACTAATTCGTATCCCCACCAATAGTTATAAGGGTTCACCACGGCCTCAGCAGCAATTTTTTAATAATAAACAACATTTTGACTAGGGTGAAATGATATCTCATTATGGTAGTTTTGATTTGCAGTTTCCTAATGATTTATAATGTTGACCACTTTTTTCATATACTTGTTGGTCTTTTGTATATCTTCTTTCAAGATATTTTGCCTATTATTTAATGAGATCATTTGAGGTTTTTGCTGTTTAGTCATTTGAGCTCCTTATATATACTGAAATTAATTCTGAAATTAATCTCTTCCCAGTTTGCAAATATTTGTCCCGTTCTACAGACCCCTCTTGATTCAACTGATTTTTTTTTCTGTACAGAAGCTTCTTAGTTTGATATGATCCTATTTGTCTATGTTTCATTTTGTTGCTTGTGTTTTCAGTCTTATCTCAAAAA